CAAGAAAAGAATCAAGATGGTTGACACACTGAGTGAAGAGAACATCATTGGATACTTCAAGAACAAGAGCATCCTCATCACTGGATCAACAGGCTTTCTTGGAAAGAGTATGCACGCATAATGTTTATACACACATATTACGCATGCATATACTATTTGTTGCAAATTCGAGAAGTTTTTTGCGTCAAGTTCATATCTGCTGTGCTCATCTCTTAATGAGTTCTACTGTTGGTGTGCGTATATGCAGTACTGGTGGAGAAGATACTGAGAGTTCAACCTGATGTGAAGAAGATCTACCTCCCGGTGCGAGCGGTGGATGCCGCGGCGGCAAAGCATCGGGTGGAGACTGAGGTAGTGTTGTCCGTCATGGTTCTTCATGATCTAGACCTCTACAGCTCATCTCATGATTCTTTTGATCCCTTTGCTCGAGTGTTGGTGCTGAATAATCTCTTTTCTATGTGCCCAGGTGGTAGGGAAGGAGTTGTTCGGGCTTCTGAGGGAGAAGCACGGGGACAGGTTTCAATCTTTCATCTGGGAAAAGATCGTCCCATTGGCCGGAGACGTGATGCGCGAGGACTTCGGCGTCGACAGCGAGACCCTGAGGGAGCTCCGGGTGACCCAGGAGCTCGATGTCATCGTTAATGGCGCCGCCACCACCAACTTCTACGAAAGGTGCGTCATTGTCAACTGATTGTTTTGTCCAAGAAAGAAAAAAATATCAGCAGAGAACTTGAGAGTAGGTGCAGCAAGAGTACGCGGTGAATGGTCTCTGAAAAACAGTTGTGTGCGTGCAGGTATGATGTGGCTCTAGACGTGAACGTGATGGGAGTGAAGCATATGTGCAACTTCGCCAAGAAGTGCCCCAATCTCAAGGTGCTCCTCCATGTCTCCACGGGTACGTACACCAACTCTACAAGTAACCATTGACTATGAGTATGAACTTGGATGCTTTGGCAAAAAAAGGGTTCTTGGATGTTAATTAAAGTACACCTAGATTTGATTTACAAATCAAGTTAATAAATCCATACATGAGTTGGTGCAGCTTACGTGGCGGGTGAGAAGCAAGGGCTGGTGCAAGAGAGACCATTCAAGAATGGCGAGACGCTGCTCGAGGGGACCCGCCTCGACATCGACACTGAGCTGAAACTGGCCAAGGACCTGAAAAAGCAGCTTGAGGCCGACGTTGATTCGTCGCCCAAGGCCGAAAGGAAGGCCATGAAGGATCTTGGCCTTACCAGGGCCCGGCACTTCAGGTGGCCAAACACATACGTGTTCACCAAGTCGATGGGGGAGATGGTGCTAAGCCAGTTGCAGTGTGATGTCCCCGTTGTCATCGTCCGTCCCAGCATCATCACAAGTGTCCAGAACGACCCACTGCCCGGATGGATCGAAGGCACCAGGTTCATTATAATTTAAAGTGCAGTCGTTTTAATCTATTGCGAATGCAATAAATAAAGGGATAAATGGTACTTGTTCAATGTAAAAAAATGTAAATTGCAGGACGATCGACACGATCGTGATCGGCTATGCGAAGCAGAACCTGACATACTTCTTGGCCGACCTCAACCTCACCATGGATGTGGTAAGCAATGTTGTACTATGCATGCAGTTAAGATATATTCCAGGCAATGTTTGGTCGTTAGTCTAGGAATTCCTACAGTAATAATAAGAAAAAGGGTTTCCCCACTTAAGATTATAAAGCAACATTTCAAAGTCGGTGGTGAGTGCAATCATTTGGTTGGGTATACATTGGTGCAGATGCCGGGCGACATGGTGGTGAATGCGATGATGGCGGCAATAGTGGCACACAGCTCGTCCTCATTGGAGAAGACAAAGTCACATCCCAAGCAACATGCACCGGCGGTGTACCACGTGAGCTCGTCGCTGCGTAATCCGGCACCATACAATGTGCTTCATGAGGCTGGGTTTCGGTACTTCACGGAGCACCCTCGCGTGGGCCCTGACGGTCGCACCGTGCGTACCCATAAGATGACATTCCTCAGCAGCATGGCTTCCTTCCACCTATTTATGATGCTCAGGTACCGCCTCCTCCTCGAGCTCCTCCACCTGCTCTCCATCCTCTGCTGCGGCCTCTTCGGCCTCGACACCCTCTACCACGACCAAGCACGCAAGTACAGGTTAGTTGGTTGAAATCTTTTGTGGTTTGTATCTTCTTGATGGCGCGGCACATAAGATGACACGGACTTTATTGTTATATTGTTATAGGTTCGTGATGCACCTGGTGGATCTGTACGGGCCCTTTGCGCTGTTCAAGGGGTGCTTCGATGACGTCAACCTAAACAAGCTCAGGCTCGCCATGACCAGCAACCATGGTAGCCTCTTCAATTTCGACCCGAAGACCATTGATTGGGACGAGTACTTCTACAGGGTCCACATCCCCGGGGTCATAAAGTACATGCTCAAGTGAAATATCCGTGCACCGAAATTCAGGCGTTGCCTTAATAATTAAATAATCGTACGATTGTAAGAAATGTCCTCCCAAATTGGGTTCTAACCGTTAAATAATCTATATGAAAGAGGAAAATGTGTCTGTCGCTTGATAGAGCAGGCATCAACGTTGCATAAGTTTCTTGAAGACAAGGAATGCTACATTATGTAGTCCCATTCTGGTTCATGTATTGTATTGCTAATTATGACTAGTATTGATTGTTGTTACCAATTTCTTGTTCAGTCACATATGGTACCTTGACTAGCATTGATTGTTAATAATTTCTTCTCAAGAGAAATAAATATAGTACTCCAAGATTTGTGAATTATGCATAATCTCTTCAAGCGCTTCTCAGTGCAAAATGAATAAGGCAATCGATTAATAGTTGTGTATAGACTTTGTTTAAATTGACGCATCTCCAGAATTAAAATCAAGATCGACCGCATCCATGAACCAGGTCACTATGCATACACATCTCACCAAAACATGCATACTAGTATCAATACAGTTATTCTAATACTTGGTAAATACAGTATAAAATAATAATACACTTTTGTTTCAGTAAATATCAATCTGTTCCAGTAAAAGTGTACTAATCAAAGTTGACACGAATTTTAATTTGACTAGACAATTTCACGTCAAGAAATCACAATAAATTGGTCCGGTAACCCAGCGGTCAGGGCCGCACACTCAAGCTGTACTCAGCATACAAGATAGGAAAAGAACATTGTCATCAGCATCATCAACAGAAAACAGATTGGCAACAGCTACATTTTTTTTAAAGAGAAATTTCTCTGTTTTACATCACTTGATACATTTGGAGCAACGTTTATTATTCTGAAAAAAAAATGAGATGATAAACACATATTCATGTGCCATGTTCAGGAACTCTTTCTAGCTGCTCAGCCCAATTGACCATTTTTCCCAAGATCCTATTCGATGGTAAACAAGAGAATTGCACATTAGCTTCCCCTAGGTCCCAGTTGAAGAGTTTAATTCATCTGCCATAGCAGTGTTCTGGAAATCTGTCGAGCCAAGATCGGTGACATGATACTTAATTCAGTTGAACGGTCCAGCCCATCCGATCCTCTGTGTGGCCCATCTGGAGGCTCGTCAGCGAGGTGTAAAGCTGCTGTGACACCACGCCGACTCCTTGGTTGCCATCGTATTCTACCCTGAAAAGCAGAAGAAAATGCATGGTGGTCTGAGTTCTAGTAGTACATGGCTTATTTGTCAGTGTTTGAACAGCCAAATTAAACGAGGTAAAAATTGACAGTTCCAAGGCAGAGCAGAAGCTTCACCTTTTCCCCTTATAGGTAATGCTCCCCACGGGTGAAACCACAACAGCAGTTCCTGTGCAGAAAACTTCGTCTGCATCAAGCAGTTCGTCTACGGACACATGGCGTTCCTCCACCTTAAATGAAGCACATTGTGTTAACTAAGGCCATATAAAGCAAAGCAACATATAGTACTTCCGATCAACTGTCGATTTTTGGTGACCAACATTTACCTTGTAGCCTTTGCTCTCGGCAACTTCGATGATACTTTTCCTTGTGATACCAGGCAATATCGTTCCTTCTATTGCTGGAGTGGAAATAGCATTGCCCTGGTGCAAAAGACCATAGCAAATATAAGTAACATTTCTGCAGTCCTTAACTTGGTGAGATAATGTTCCTCAAGAAGAACTTGACAGCATACTAATAAGAATAAAACAAAGAATAGTAGCTTATCATCCACATTAGACTTGCTTAGTTTGTAGAGGGGGCAAAAGTTGTACATAACTAGGATGCCCCCACAGGATTCGATCGCAAAAACTACTTTTAACTGCAGATACTGAAACAGATTTAAGAAAATAAGAACTGCCATGTGAAGAATCATACTTTCACAACGAAAATATTGCATGAAGAAACTTCTTCCAGATATTTGTTGTGAACGGCATCCAAATAGAGGACATCAGAATATCCTTTGTCCTTTGCAGTTCTCTGTGCTTTCAACACCTACATGGGGATGACAAGTTTGTCAATTAAGTGATCCTAGTTTCAGATTCAAAAGTCAAAACAATGGGGGCGCAGTTGATAACTCATCACAGAATCGACGACTTCAATTTCATTAGATTTACCAACAACATCCTTTTACAACAATGTGGGTGTAAATCTTAGTTTGCTGAGAGAATTTAGTACTGAAAAAACTTCCAGTCAACCACTAAGAGCTGCTATTATGTAATTTCCATTATTCTTTTTTTCTTTTGAAAGCTGTCTATATTATGTTATAGATGTACATTTTCATCATTTGCAGTACTACAATCATATTTCGCCCACAGAAATTTTCATCACGCAAATGCCAAAGCAAATGATGCCCCAAAAGGTTCTTTTTTCCTACAAAAGGGTGCCGACAGAGGTCGAAACAATGAAAAATAATGCCGATGTCAAAAGTTACCGAGGCATAGTTTCCAATGGTTTTCACGCCTCCAGTTCCACCAGGGGCCGCACGGTGAAAGTTATCTTCAATAATCAAGTTAATAGGAGCTAAACCTTCCTGTAAAATAAAGTTAACAGACTTAATCAACATTCAACATAAATTTGGAAAAATGAAAATTGGATAGTAGATAGATCGTGGGGGATGAGCCTGTACTTGTGCAAATATGCTTGTGGCATAATTACCATTCATCTATACTATATCATCAAGAAGATAAGAACGGTACTTGTGACCAGATGTTTGTTGAACTAAAAAACTCAGTACAAACCTTGAAATAATTTCCAACAGGGGAGACATAAATAAGGAAGGTGTACTCAGGAGCAGGTGCAAGACCAAGAATAGCCCCGCTTCCAATAAGTAGTGGCCTGATATACAAGGAACCTTTACCGGTAGGAGGCACCTAAAGTTTACAGTAGTACATTAAAGAAGAAGTTAGGGGATCATAGGCAATGAAATGAGCATGAGAAGACATAAAAATAACTTACCCATCTTTTATTTGCCAGAACAGTTTGCTTCACTGCATCCACAAATTGCTCAACACTTGGTGCAGGCATGCACATCCTATCTGAACCATTTTTCATCCTAATGGCATTCTCCTCCGGACGGAACAATAGGACAGACCCATCAGTTTTCCTATATGCTTTTAGGCCTTCAAACAGTCCCTGCATGCCACAACAAAAATTATTAAGCACGCCTGATACCTTTAGGCCATCAAAGAGTACATAATTCAGAGATTATCATAGCTACAGACAACAGGTTACTATGCCACCGCATATATGAAATAATGTCTTCCAAGTCCTCCGGCTAACTAACCTGTCCATAATTTAAGACTCCAGCAGAGGGGCTTAGTGCTATGGGTCCAAAAGGCAGGATTTCTCCTTTGGAAAAGTTTCCATCTGGCCCGCATTTGGCCATGTACATAAAGTCGGTATCGACAAGGCCAAAGCCAAGGTTTTCCCAGTCCAGATCGACTGTATCATCTGTTTCCCTGGTAAGAATCATACCGTCAGAACAAAGCAGCCGTCAGAAAAGACAGATGAATACTCATGAATCTTGTTGAGACAAATTAGTGTAGTATATACTCCCTCCGTTCCTAAATATAAGTCTTTGTAGAGATTCTACTATGGACTACATACGGAGCAAAACGAGTGAATCTACACTCTAAATGCATCTATATACATCCGTATGTGGTTCATAGTGAAATTCCTACAAAGACTTATATTTAGGAACGGAGGGGGTATTTTATAAGTATTTGCATACATGTATTTAGTTGCTACAGAAGCCTGGCATCCTACTGTGGTATGGTCCTTGTAGTGGAGAGTAGGCATCGAGTAACCGCGAGTCTGTACCTGCAACCAGGAGCAACAAAAGGGCTGTTTGTTAGATAATAACAAGGATGGTGATAACAAGTAGTAAAACCATCTGAACTGACCCCCTCTGCAGATTTATATTGGAACACAAAATCAAGCTGGGAAAACGACATTTTGAGCAAGACATCACAGCAAGTGCTGTAATAAGTCAAGCAGATGCCCAAAAAAAGTTAAGCATAAAGGTTATCCAGCAGGACCGTACAAACAAATGATATGTGTTGTTCAAGAAACTATCAGTGCTATCCTAGTGGGCTGCCTTGAACATTGGGCATGTCAAGAAAGTGGCCAGTCAAGCTCGCATTTACAGATTGGAGTTGGACTAGCTACTGCAATGCTACCTAGCGCAATCCAAAACAAGCAGCTGAGATCTAGCCCCACGCGTTACGATCTTGAGAGGGATGAAGCAGCTACCTGAAGCGAAAGGGGACGGGGCAGCGGCGGCGAGAGCGAGGACCGCGGCCGCCGCCCGGCGACGGCGAGCGAGGGGCCGGCCGGGCCGCGGGAGGAGGCGAGGCCGAGCTCCATTTCCGCGCGCGGGTACCGAGACCGAGGTGGCGAAGGCCGGCAAGATGGGTTCCGGTCGGCGGCGAGGCGAATAATGCGGCGGCGGCGGCGGCGGTCAATGGGGTGGCGGGCGGTCAAGCGGCCGCTCGGGTGGAGTAGCTAGCAGCGGGGTGGCGGGCGTACGGACACTCGGACAGGATGCCCACGCTGACTACCGGGTCCCCCGCAATACGTGTTGACGCGGGGCCCATTGGTCAGTGGCCTATGGACCCAATCGCCTGGTTCGCAACGAGTCAGCGTGCAGCGTCCCGACCAGAAGATAAAATAATCTGTTCCGCTGACATGTAGGGCATCCGGTGCCTACCATGTTCGTACGCCAAGTAGTGCTACATGTACACCTGGTGAAATACTTCATCGAGAGCGTTTTTGACAGTAGCACCGCAACAAAGGTAAAAATTTCAGAGAGACAGATCAGTATGTACCGGTCCGTCAGCGGAAAAAATTTAGTTCGCAAGATGATTGTTTTCGTGGTTTTTCTAAACTGAAACCACGACAAGAATTATGAAACAGAAAAAATATAAAACAAACATTGTAGCCTCCGGCAAGTACATAAATGCCATAAGCATGCAAACAACAACAAAAACAACAACAACAACAACAACAACAACAATCATTTTGTACGAGGTACACACATAATTAGCAAGTACGTACCTTGTACGAGGCAAAGCAGCCACCACCGTGCGCTGTGTCGAGACTATCGTGGATAGATAGCTATATGATGATTGATGAATTTTAGGTGATGGTCGATGCAAAATCGCTGGAAAGCATACGGGGCTTTATATAGAGAGAGGCAAGCATGCATGGTCGATGGATAGGATGCCCACACCAAGCAGTGTGAACAAAGGAAGCAGACCGTGCAATGCATTCGTCGTCCCCTAGGTCGCTGGCCGTCGATCAAGAGTATTTTTTTTAAATAGTTGAGGTACTATCCCCTTCGTCTGAAAATACTTGTCATTAAAATGGACAAAAAGGGATGTATCTAGAATTAAAATACGTCTAGGTACATCTCTTTGCATCCATTTTGATGACAAATATTTTCGGACGGAGGAAGTACGTCATTGTTTTAAAAGACAGTATACCACCGTATTACTCCCTTCGTTTCAAAATAGACAACCCTACTTTATATTAACTTTATATTAAACTTAATATAAGATTGAGTCATCTATTTTAGAACGAAAGGAGTATTTACGTACTATCCTGCCATTTCTTCTTTTTGAACATCGCGCAAGCATCTTTTGTGTGTGTACACGTTACTACTAATCCTAGTGATCAACATGCATGTGTTCAAGATCGATATCTGCTTAAATTAGTGTGCTCTGTATCATTATCTTTTTATTAACTAACACACACACACCTGTCACGCCCTTAGCGCGTAGTTTCATACATACGTTACACGGCTTCAGTCTTTTTTCTCTTTTTCTTTTCGACCGCCGACTAGTTCACGAGTCATAGAATACAAAATCATGCATAGTATATGCTCCTCCTCTGCCTTGCTCTACACACAATCATGTAGAGTATATTATTTGGGGCCTACACATTACTATATATCCTGTTAAAAGGAAATGATAACCACGCAACGGTCGTGCCAACGCGTACACAATGAGCAATCATCATCAAGTAGTTAAGATGGGCATAAGCAAATCCAATTTGTTTCTACACACACGACAGACCGGCGGGAGATTCTTTTATGGGCTCCCTTTGATTCATATTAATTGTTGCAACTTTAGTATAAAGTTGTTTTAAGGGTACGACAATAATATGGATAGGAGGGAGTAAGGGCATCTACAGCTGGACATAGTAAATATGACCGCTTAAACGCCTGTGGACGCATGGGCGTGTCCGTTTGAGCCCCTATTTATTCTTCTGCGTAGCCACACTCATCATTTTTTTCGCATATGTCCGGTCACTTGCACGTGATTGATGAAAATGAAGAGAGAGAAATAAAAAATTGAATAAATAAAGAGAAAAGGTGGTCGCGGGGTAGGGTCGCGTCCAACATGGCGGAATGCCCGGGCGCATCCGCAAGCCCATATATCCTCCACATATTTGAGATGAATATGAGGGTTCGCGGGCATCCCGGGCGTATAGGGATGATACGAGTGATCCGATTGGCTCATGTTTTTTCTTTTCTCATTCCTGTCCGGTCACTAACCGGCGCGTCCACGGACGTACGAGGGATGGTTTGAGGAGTCCGGCTGTAGATGCTCTGAATACTAATGAATGGTTGATTTTCCAATGGGTGTTGTTGTAAATATATCCTGTAGCTCGGTACCTATAGTCTGGCATCGGATTCGCTCGATCGTTGGTACCGACCGTGTACGTACCATACCTAAGCTAACCGGCCGGCCGCTTGGCTTTCCCTTTGATATTACTATTTTATTTATATGTACTCATATGTAAAAGTCAGAATACGCGTGGTCGATCGATCAGAGTCACCAAACCCACTTTGTGCGGTGGTCTTTGCAAAAAACAATTTACATGCAGAATGACTTTGCAACTATTCTAGCTACACGAAGACCCGCCTTTTGTGCGGTGCTCTTTGCAGAAAACAATTAACATATACTTGCTCCGTTCCTAAATATTTGTCTTTTTAAAGATTTCAACAAGTAACTACATACGAAGCAAAATGAGCGAATCTACACTCTAAAATATGTCTACATACATCCGTATATGGTAGTTCATTTGAAACTCTAAAAAAACAAATATTTAGGAACGGAGGGAGTAGAATGATTTGCAACACTTCCGTAGGTATTACTATACTCGGGACAACAGAATGTGCCCTAAATAATTACTTAAGGTGTTGATTTACTTACTAGAGTTTCCTTTAACCAATTACTTAGTTACTAGAATAAGTTGTTCACCATCCTGATTTTTCGGGGTAAGTTAGATGTTCATCTTTCCTGTCGTGGCACATTACTTGGGGTTGTTTGGATTATGCCCACGGACAGCCCTACCAAAGCGAGTGCGTCAATATTTGGCGAAGGAGTTGCCCGCCCTATTTTCTCAGCATATGGGGTGCATAATTTGTAGTAGCGAGCAAAATATCGGTGTGACTATGAAAGTTGGGCTTCAGTCCAAATGTTAGTCCATGCCATTAGTCAACTACCTACTCTCCTTTGAACTTGTAGGTCATCGATTCTTAGTAAGGCCTAGCGTCTTCACACATAACCCGACGACTCCCCGGCGTGTGAAAGTAAAAACCATTAGCTTTGACCGTTATCAGGGGTGGAGCCCACATGTCGGTCCTGCAAAAAAAGCAATCAGATACCTGCAAATTTTTAGAAAACAATCGGGTCCTGTAAGTTTTTCTAAAAGCAATCAGGCCCCTCTATTTTTTTAAGAAAAAGAAGGCCCCTATAATTTTTTTTAATAAAAGCAACCGGGTCCTTGTATTTTTTAAAAACAGTCCGGTCCTTGTAAGTTTTTTCTACAAAAGCAATTAGGGCCTTGTTTTAGTGTTTTTAAAGCAACCATGTCCTTGTTAGATGGCCATGGCTGCGTGCACTACCTGCGCTAAACTGTGGTTGCGCCGGCAGTGGCGGCGCCGACTGTGGTTGCGAGCGGCTATGTGCACCACCTGCGTCAGGCCGTGGCTTTGGGGCTATGGGCGGTGGCAACACAAATGCACTGGTAGTCCATGAAGATGAGCTTGGCAGCGGCGTGCCTTTGGATGGCGGCAATGCTAGGGGCGCCTAGGTGGGTGTTGATGGCGTTGATGACCGCGGTGGCCATGGGGATGACGGTGGCGTGAGGTAGGAAGGTGACAGCGGTGTGTCCCATTTCAGTTTGTGGGCAGCGTCAGTGCTGCAATGACCGGCGAGGACGACAACGGCTGGAATGTGTCCAGCGGCGGATCCCAATGGGTTTGGGTGCGAGGGAGACTCCGAGCAGCCATGGTTGCGCTTCCTCAGAGAGAGAGAGATCAAGGGAGGAGAGGGAGAGAAGAAAGACAAGAGCTTACACCTGGGCTTCACATGTAAGTTAACAGTCAAAGAAATGGTTTGACTACCGGCTTTATATCTATTGCCACGTGGTCCTGACGAATGGGCCTAGCTGTCATAAACATAGTTAAAATTTAACCAATTTGATCACATGTGTTTTTTGAAATAGCGAACCAAAAAAATGATGAGTTTACGGAATTTTGGAAAAGTGGTATTTTTTGAAACCATAGCCCTAAATATGCTAGTTTTATGTTATTTACTCCCTTAGTAGCATACGGAGGAGGAAGATGACGTTGGCTTCTCCAATGATTTGATGTAGTAGTTTATATTTCTTGTTTCCTAAAAATTAATACACCTTATATTTTAAAATGGAGAAAACACAACATAAGGAAGTTCTATTTTGACAAATTACTATGATCGACAACACCAACAACCAAAATAAGTGAAGTCCACCCTAAGCAGTTGCTGGAAAGATTAAACTTGCACGTCCAAAAACAGAGAGCCTCCCGGGAAAACGCATCTGAGGCTCCCGGGTCGCTTCGAGCTGACACCGGAGGCGCCGTCGCAGTCAGCTTCGGAGGCT